GAGCCCTCGACATTGCAGGCGGGACACAAGGCCCAGCGACACGCAGAAGGCTCCATCAACAAGAAGTTAGCGACTGAGAACATGGGCATCAATTTAGAATACCTGGCCGAGCCCTCGACATTGCAGGCGGGACACAAAGGCCCAGCGACACGCAGAAGGCTCCATCAACAAGAAGTTAGCGACTGAGAACATGGGCATCAATTTGCCAGGGAGAATCTGAGTTACAGGGAGACATCAGTTCCTGACACCAAGTATGGCTAACCACTGCAAAAATGACCGCTGACAAGTGAAGAGTGGGTTTCTCCAGGCACCTGACAACTCCTATCTGTGTGTGTTGCAAAGTCAGTTTGCGACCAACACACACTCAGAGCCAGGGGGAGAAGGGTGCAGCGAGCAGGCATTTCCGGGTTGCCTTAGCCAGGCCAGAGGCAGGAGGAGGTGTCTGACCTTCACAGTGCTTAGTGGACTGTCTCCCTGGCAAAGCCTAGCTTCCCAGGATGCATCTGGGGACAGACAAGCCAGTGCCTGGCATCAGCGAATCACTTGGAAGGGTGGAGAAGGAAAGAATCTTATTTTAGGGGTGGCCTCAAGTATTATAACCCTACTATTCAGGCATCAAAAATAGCATCACGGAAGAATGAGAGTTAGCAGTGGACGGTTCATTCAGGGGTCTGTTTTTGCTGCTCTTGCTGAATGCCACAGGCCCGGCAGTGACTAAAGAACGGGCCCAGCTTTCTAAAGACCAAGGCCCAGTGTCCAGCCCAGCAGTTTCTGGAGTCACATCCTGGTCCTCAGCCCAACACTTTGAAGCTGGGGGATGCCTATTTCAGGTACAGAGCTGGGCAGGCACATGCAGGGGCAGCAGCGGCAGCTGGCGCTCTGCGGTTGTTTTTCTATTTATATTTTAAATATTTTCTAATGGGTTAAAATCATAGTGTTTAATCACACTACATTGCGGCGGAGAAGACCAGATAAAGTGAGCTGAACTCAGTGTGGGCAGGGCAGGGAAGCCCAGTGCAGGCCACACAGGGTGGTGGTGCTGCCCCAGAGCTGGGGCCCAGGCCCGGCAGCTTCCCATGCCTTCAGCACGAGAGACCGGCACGTGCACCAGGCTGGGACAGCTGGTGCTTCCCTGAAAACACACCAGAGGCGGTCACCAGGAAGGGGCAGATGTCACGCGGGGAGAGATCTACTCGGGCAGGCTGGGGGAGTCCTTTGTTCTGTGGATCGAAAACAAGTTTCCATAAACAACAAGATGAAGATTTTTTTCAGCAGCCCGCAAATTATCACATGAGACTAGCTTGTATGTTTCTGTTTTCTACTTGAAGGAGCCAGTCTCACAGCCTTTCACAGAGAAAATTCAACACAGAAGGAGTAAACCAGAGTCAGTTTCTCAGTAAGAATTCAAGCACTAAATACTGATTCCAGAGCATATGTCCCAAGATTATCAGAAACATAGAAGAGCAGCAGGAAGCCGGCAGGCCCTGGCGTGTTAGCGGCACAACCGAGGCTGGTGGCGCAGGGCTGTGCTGCAGCTCCTGTGCAGGAGTGCTTGCTCTCCTGGTGGCTGCCAGCCCTGTGAGCCCTGCACACGGGCGGCTGGCACATGTGGTTCTAGAGGAAGCATTTTCCTGAGGTGGATGCCACAGCACACTACGATGTGTATGGTAAGGCAGTTCCCCTCTGTGAATTAAAATGCCTTTCCTTTCTCCCACACAGCAAGAGGGAGAGGGGAGAGGCAATGCAGTTCTGTAACAATATTCTCTTCCAGGTGCCAAAACCAGGGAAGAGAAAGGTCTTCCAAAGTTCTTTCCTGCAGGAAACGTCTACCTTGCTCTTCCAATGGTGTGTTTGTATCTTTGAATTCACAGCTGTGCTCCAGTGCCAGGGGCAGGGCGAGCAGCACAGGGAGCCCACAGTGCAGAGCTTCGGCCCCCAGGGGCCCTCCCCCTGCCCCTCCCTGGTGAGCGCTTCTGGCACCCAGAGGAGGCCCAGCTCATGTCTGCCTGACTCGGAAAATCAGTTTTCCCGCCGGCAACTTCCTGAGCCTTGGACCTAGCTTTGTGTGAAACCAAAGTTTCTGGTTTTGTGTTTTGCAGTTTTGCTGAGCAACAGATCCCTTTCAGGAGCACAGCTGCCCTGGAAATGGAGATGAGAGTGTGGCGTTGCCTCACGGGGGCCAGCGGCTGCTGTATCCAAGCTCCCGTGGCACTGGAGTCCTGCCTGCTTAGTTTGTAGCTCTGATTCCAGCGATTCTACACCAGGTGTCGGCATCTTTATCTCTGAGCTCACCTGCTGCTGAGCCCTGACATTTTCCACATCAAAATGTTTTTAGTTCAGCTGCTTTCCTTTCACTTCTGTTATACAGAGTTCTGACTATGCCAGGGTATGCGTGAGAAAGAGACTGTGAATGTCAGTAGGTTACACGGATTTCATTGTAGAATAGTCAAAGAGACACGAACTATTTGCTGTAAAGGGGCCATCCTAATTGTCCCTGTGTGGAGAGGAAAGTGGTGGAAACTGCATAGCCACATCCTCAGGGCAAGGGCCAAACAGCACATGG